CTTGCTTCCCCTTGCTTCCAGCATCATATCTACCTTAGTACTATACTCAATGTTCATTATATGCTACTCCTTTGAAATTCCAGTGTTACTGTATATATCTCAAACTGCCCATAGTATTTGTGATTCTAACTTGGTACTTCTATTGTGTAAAATGACCTCTACTCTGTATAACTCTGCTTGGCCTTTAGGCAAACACCTACCCATCTTACAAAGCACAGTTCAAGGACTACCTCCACTATGACAGCCAGCTTCCTGCCATGGTGTTGATCACTTCACCCTTTCTCCTGTCTGTGACAGATAATTTCCTATTATAGCAAAGATTTCTAACATACATTACCTAGCTTCACAAAGCTTACAATCACCAGTGTGAAGCTATTTTATATAACAAGACAGGCAGGGTAAGGAATTATAAACTATGAGAAAATATGAATTGAAAATACCTTAAAATCAAGTCGGGGTTCTCTTTTCTGAAGGCTTCTGTGTTCCACCCCACTACGTGTGTGTGTGTGTGTGTGTGTGTGTGTGTGTGTGTGTGTGTGTTAACTTAATTTTCACGAATACTCTGAGAAAGATAGTTGTATCCCTACTTTAGAATGGAGAAAACTAAAACAAAAAAAGACTAAATAATTTGCCTCATATGACCCTCCTAGAAATAGTTTAAGAATCCAACCTATCTGTGTAGTACCAGTGAGTATCTGTACAATCATGGTATCTTGCCTTTCTAGAAAATGACCAGTAGGGGTGGCTAAGGGATTCAAATAGGAAACTCTTGGGCAAATTTAAAAATTAAAAAGTAATCTAGAATTCCCTCCTCAAATCAAGACTTCATTGCATGTTATTGCTTATAACGCAAAAGTTTGAAATCGCCAACTTCCCTAGATATTCTGTGTTCTGTGTTTTCTTTCTCTGAGGAACCTGGCATCTAGACTTGGACTAGGGAAATAAATCCCAAAAGAGAAAGACAGTCACCATCTCTTCTTTGGGTCTTTTTGCTATGTAGTTACTTTCTCTCTGAGAAAGCCATTTTCCTTCAACTGCAGGTCTCTACTTAAGTCTAATGACTGTAGTAATTGGTAGTCATAAATTTTCAGTATTAAAGTGCAAATTCTCTAAGAAACAGTGGCCTGTACTGTCAACAATGAGTAGGACCAAGGCAAAAGGCACAGTATCATACTCAGCCACTAATTTTTGAAAGTCCTTGACTCAAACCAGAATTTGTGGCTTACAAGCAGAAGAGAATTTCAGGGCTACCCAGTATGAAGCAGAATTGAGGTCTCATAAAGACATTTTAATATAGACTTGGATCATGAGGATTAAGAAAAAAGGAGACATTCAAAAAGAAAGACATACCCCAGAGCAGGCATGTGAGCTTTTCAAAGAAGAATTACACTTCACTATCTTAACAGTAGTCAAATGTAGCACTTTTGTGAGTTAGAAGGTTGCTGAAGACTAATTGAGATCACATAGATGCAGGAAGATAGGCCATCTGACTGCAAAGATAATAGTCTTGTTTGAGAACACCCCCTCCCATGTGCGCACGTGCATGCACGTACACACACACACACAAGAAAACATGGGGAGAAATGAGGCCTTGCCCAAGGTCAAATACATTCAGGCCTTAAACTTGGGCTGTTACTAATTTTAAGTTAAATATTCATATGTAAATGTAGCATTTTATCTATGTTGATAACTTTTATAGAAAATGCTATTAATTATGCTGGAATGCTTGATTTTCAGCTGGCAAAAAGGTTCAGTCAAATTCCAGGATGCCCCCATACTTTTCCTGTATTTCTATCCTGCCTCAAAAACAATAATACCATTACTAGGAGACAAAGGCTGACAGATATACAGTTCAAAACCAGCCTGAGCACACAGTGAGACTTTATACACAACAATAAAGTCAGGAGAAAGGAAGAAATGGAGGTAGAGAGAAAGACAGAAATGAGGGGAGTAGAGGAGGAGAGAGTAAATGGGTAGGAAAAACAAACAGAAAGAGAAAAAAGCAACAATAATAAAGGCAATTTTGTATGAGAATTTTTTCCCTAGGATTGACTCACTCTCTCTCCCTATAGAAGTAGACATGAAATTCAGGGAAGCAGAGGGGGAGACAATTTCCCCATAGGGTGTAGATTTTTCAACAAATCAGACGCTGTTCCTTAAGAAGGTTATAGACTTCCCTTTCCTGGAAAACTTCAGCTAACATACTCTCTTTTTTTCCTAGGATTTAATTTTATCTGAATGGTTGCATGAGTGTCATGTGTCACAAGTTTGTAATGCTCATTAATTTGAACATGACTTATCATGGATGAAAACTACATGTTGTTTACACCTATAATGCGTTATTAAATAAATTTTAATATGGTTGCCTAAAAAAGACTCAACTTATCTAGCAGAACAATTTTCAAATGCCTTCTAAAAATATAATTTTGAGAAAGTATTCCTTCAAGTATTAAGCAGCTGACTTAAAACTGGGCTACAAAAAAAATTCACAAAATCTCACGAAAGACTTTATTCATAGCCATCAAAAATTGGATGAAAAACCCAGACTCTTTCATACAGGAAAAGTAAAAAGCAAATAGAATTGGTCAAATAGTCATACATTATAATGCTATTCAGACATTGAAAAAAAGGTACAGGAATTGGCTCTCAAGGCACATAAAAATAAGGATGCTGACTGGAAGAAATAATTATAACAATTGTGACATATTGTAAGAGTCAATCTCTGGCATCCTATAAAAATAAAAACCATACAATAGGGTATTAGTTTATTGGAGGTCATAAAAGAGTATAATAGATAAAGCAAAGGGTATTTTTAATAGCAAAACTATACATTTTAAGAATGTATTCATGACACTGTGTATGTATTTTGTCAAAAGCACAAACAATGATTATATTTAAAGAAGTCCCAGGAGCTCAAGAATATGTGGATGGAATAAAAACATGTTTTGAAATAAGAAAAATGAGAAAGAAGAAGAGGAGGAGGAGAAAGACAATTCACAGTACTGAAAATTCATGAAGCAACCTCATTTTCAGAGAGGTTGCTGAATTCCTAACTTTATAAATACATGTAGTGTAAAATACTAAAGACAAAAGAACTATCTGAAAGCATTGCACATAGTTGGGAATGTGACTCCCACAGGCATAGCTGACCATACGATACCACTATCCGTGTACACTAAATATGGTGTAACTGTTCTGAACTCACCGTACATGTGAACTGGAATTAAAATTAAGTGAGTGGATAGCAAATGTTAAAGTCAAGTCTCTCATATTGGTTAACACAGATGACTATGTCTTAGTAAAATGGTTGATTCTAGGACTCTGACAGGCAGGGGTTATATAAGAAGATTCTGGAGTATCTAATAGTGCCAGAATTTTTTAAACAATCTCAAGAAATAATGACAAACAAACATATGGATGAGGACCAAAATAAATAAATAAAAAACAACCAAAACCCTATGGAGTTATGTCAAAAAGCATACGTGCCAACAGAAAGAAACCAAAATTTGAACAATATGAAAAACAAAATTAAAAAGTAATTTTAAATTACTATGAGTCCATATTAATATAAATAACTGAATATATCAACAAATGGAAGAGGACAATTCTTCCATGATAAGAACTTCAGCTAAGTATGAAGACACTCTGCCCTCAAAGAGATGAATTTACTACCAACTTCTACAGTTTCAGGCCTGCCTTCTCCTTAAACATCCCTAAAGGAAAAGGTGGAGAAGCAGTGTTCCACCTCACCAAGGTGATAATCAGAAACAAATCATAATGACAGTTAGGAACCTTGATGTAATAGAGTAACAAGTACATTCTATATCATTAAGCCCAGACACTCTGACTTCAGTCAATACATGTGGAAAGCATCAAATTCCAATTCAGAGATGGCCAACAAAATGCCTGAAGAATACTTACTCAGACTGCTAAGTATATTGTAGTGGCCCCCATAGGCTAGGTTTTTGAATACTTGGTCCCAAGGTGATAGTTTTTAGGATTGGTTTAGGAGGTATGGCATTGATAGAGGAAATATGTTCCTGGAGAACCTGCTTTGAAGTTTCAAAAGCCACTCACCATTTCCAGTGAGCTCTTTGCTTTCTCTTTATGGTTCAAGATGTGAGCCCTGGGCTTCTGCTTCAGCCTCCCTATCAACTACTTGCTGCCACAGTCACTTCCATCCCCCCAATTTTGGGTTTTGCAATGTAAGACCAAATAAATAATTCCTTCCTTAAGTTACCTTGATCATTGTTTTTAATCACAGCAACAGAATAGTCATTAATACAGCCATCAAAATCAAAGAAACTTCAGAATTAACTATGAGCTTTATTTTTAAATGCATTAGATAAACTATATGTCATTGGTATATGATATATGTGTGTTTTCTAAGCCTTTAAGAGTTTGACACCATAGAAAAACTGGGACAAAAACAAACAAAAGGAAAAAAAAAAAAACTGCCCTCGTCCTCAAAACAGTAGTTCTTGAAAAACAGCAATCATGTGAACGGAAGGCTGAATCTTTTGGAAACTGTAGGAAAATATTGGGGAAGGATAAAGAAGCTATCAAAGGGAGCTGGACAGTGGCTTAGGAGTTAAGAGCACAAGCTGATCTTGCAGAGGACCCAGGTTCAACTCCCAGCACCCACATGACAGCTCACAACCATCTGTAACTTCAGTCCCAGTGAAACAACACCTTTTTCTGTACACACACACACACACACACACACACACACACACACGTGTAGACAAAACACTCATGCACTTTAAGTAATTTTTTAATCTAAAAAATAAAAAAAAATAATAAAATAAACAACAATGATGTGTCAACAGTACCGATTAGTCAATGAAGCAAAGATCCACCAAACACTGGTGTTGAGTCCTTTAAATCTTCCCATCGCGGCCCCACCTCGCCTTGCCTTGATTCACCCGCCTATTTACCCAATGGAAGACCGAGCTCACTGCCTGGAACCCCGAGAGCATCAACTACTCCAAGATCGACATCGACATCGATGCGCTCAGAGGCAACTACTCAGGCCTGGGCGTCAAGAGCGGCGCTGCCGGGACCGTGGCAGCCGCCATTTTGACAGTGGACGGGCGAAGGCCTGGGCGCCGAGTCCCTGCGGTGGCTGGTACGGATTCTTCCCGCCCGCGATCTCCCGCGCTCATTCGGGGAGGCCGGAACTCTGCTGTCGGTATCGCCCCACCTCTACGCTTGGCTTTTCCGCTTGCTTGCCTCTCAGCTCCGCCCGCGACTGCGGTCGGGGCTCCGACCGCTTGGGTTTGGCTCGGCCCGAGCGCCTGCGCCCAGCTGGCCCCAGCGGTTCCGGGGCACGCGGGGCCCGAGGCCTGGTGATGGGGAGGGACACGCTGACACTGCCTGGCCCGAGCACATGACGGTACAGCTTGGTCTGCCACTAGCCTGTTTTGTTTTGCTCTTTCCCAGGGATTCTTTGCAAAAGGGAAGAATTTGCGTCCAGCCTCTTCACTAGAAATGGCTCATGTAAGTCACTATTAGAACAGATGTGTTTGGAAACTTGTTAGCAAACAGAGGGACGACATTATGATGACGTTGGCATAATGTTCGCCTAATGAGTCAGCACTGTCGGGGAGCAGAGGGTGTGAAATTAAGTTTTTATGGTTTGAATGTAGACGTTGACACATTCCATTAAATTCTCGTGCATTTGTTTCTCCAATTTCACATTCGAGACAAAATTCAGTGCAAGCATCTTTTCAACAATTTAAAACTCATTTTAGTAAATATTTAAAATAACGCTTTGTGCCCTTTATCAAAAACAAAAGCAACAACAAAAAGCACCTTTGGCTAACCTGAAGTTTTGAAGTTGTCAGCATAGGAAGTGACCTTCCAGTTACTACTAGAGCAAAAGTTCTTATTCACACTCACAGACCTGAGTGTCCAGGTACTATACACATCCTACGTTAGATAGTTCAAAGATAAAGGGCATAAAAAATATGAAGATTTTTATTAGAAGTAGTATATGACAGGAGCTGGAAAGAGGGCTAAGCTGTTAGGAGCACAGGCTGTTCTTGCAGAGGACCCAGGCACAAGACAGGTCACAACCTCTGTGACTCCAGTTCTTGGGAATTCAGTGCATTTTTCTGGTCTCATTGGACCCCAGGCATATGTGTTATACAGGCAAACACTTGTGTGCGTGTGTTGCGCGCATGCACACACACATACTTTTTTTTTTTTTAAGTAGCACATGATAGTTTTTTGAATACTTGGAGAAGGTATAGTGAGAGATCTGTGCATAATAGAAAATGGGAGTTTGGCATCATGGTGGGAAAAATGTTTACCTTAAGTTTTGAGAGATGAGTGAAACTTAGATCATCAAAGGTTTGAATTGGAAGGTTAGGCATTATATTCAAAACCTCTTCCCTGTGCCTTTTAAATACTAGGATGTGCAAGGGACATATGTAGGAGGTGAATTGGGGGCCAGTGGAATGTTGAGTGTTGCACTCAGTAATTTAGCTTCACTGAAGTTGTAATTTAACCGGAGCTGTAATAGAAAAATTAATGTGGCAGCAATTAATGAGGTAGTATTCCTGTTCCTGCAAAGTGTGACTGTACAGGCAAGTCTTAAGACTCCCAGTGTGAGTGAAGTTTTAAGGTAATTTTTTTTTTTAACCAAGCTATAACCTGCCCTGAAGGGGGAGGGGATACAAAAGAGGCTTATGGTACTTTCATAGGAAAGAAGGAGCTGTAGAATGCTAGTATTTGCACTGACTTTGTTTTAAATGAAATCAGTAGGATGAATTTGTTGAAAGATAAAAGTTCTTTGTTAGAATGAATCTTATATTAAATAAACTTAAATTCTACTATTCAGATGTTGGTTTATGTGTTGTAAATTCTGGGTAAATGTTAGTAGTGAAATATTGATATACATGTGTCTTTGACAGTTAACATCCAGAGTTATAAAAATGTCCATAATTTAGCATATAAACTTGCCACTCTTCTAGATATACCTACTTTATCCTTTCTTTTTTCCGGAAAGTAATAAAGTTTTAATAAAATTTCCCAAGTCTCAATTCTCTGTGAACACTCATCTGCTTTTCTGTAAAGTCAGAGGGTACTGCAGCAACATTCTACTCAGATGGGATCGGTCAGCCATGCATGCCTGTAACTGACAACCTCTTCTTTCATGTGAAAAACTTTTAGTTTGTCTAAACTGAAATATAGGTGATGCTCATGACCACGTATGGTAACATTCCTGATAATCCAGACTAGGTGATGTTGATATTTTTTAAATGTAAATAGCCAGCAGTCAAATATTTTAAACTGTGGGCCATAGGCTAATGCTGATGTTGCAGTGTGAAAGCAGTCATATGCAGCACGTAAGTGAATAACTGTCCCTGTGTTACAATAAAACTTTATTTCCCAAAATTAGCTGTATTGGGAAATCATTTCGCAATGTCTGCATTAAACTGTTCTAACCTAAGGTTTCTGCTAAAACTTTATCATGCCCCCATAGTTACATATTCATCGATTTTTAACTCAGAGAAATAAACATAAGATCAGAAAATACACCACAAAGATAGGTGAAATTAAGGAAAGTAAATATTGACTTCAAACAAAGAGGAAGTAATCTAATGAGAAGTAATTAGCATTAGGGTCCAAGGGTAAATTCTGAAGTCTGGTTTAAGGGCAGCAGAATTTTACTAGATGCTCTACGTTTTCAGTATGTATTAAATAAGGCAGCATTTATAGATTCACCTTTTGACCTTTATGGGAAAAAAAACAAACTTTTATCCCAAAGCAACACATTGTTTGTTCAGGTGTTTGTGTTGTGGTCTAAGGTGAATCTGAAGAACAGAGTTATTTGGAAGAGTGATTGCAGGAATCATGGCAAGCCAAGTGGAGCTATAGGCAACCCAGTCAAGGGTTTTCTAATTTAAAATACGAAAGGTTGCATAATTTGATGGCTTATTCCTGGCACTGTGGGTCAACACCAGGTAAGCATCAGTCAGTCCAAAGGTGAACAGGCAGTTAGTTACTGGTTAGGCATCCTCAAATGTTTAGTTTGATTTGCTTTGCTTCTACAGTGACCTTTGTGCAGGGTTATGGTTTAGTCTTTCTGTGACAGTTCATTTATCAGATATATATTCCTGAAGACCTTACTTATTAACATGGCCTCCTTGTTAGGGTTTGGCATACTTGGCCCCTGCTTTGATTCTGACAACTCTCATAGTTTTTGTAGTTGTACATACACATATTGTTTGTCACACAGAAGGTATTCCACAGAGATAGTAAAGTAGTATGTGTTATTTTTAAAAGATATAACACAATGATATGAATTAGCTTACTGCATAAACACAAGAACCTAAATTTGAGTTTGCACCCACGTAAAATCCAGGCATGGCTGCGCATGCTTGTAACACTAGCACTATGGGGAAGGTAGAGACAAGATCACTGGGACTTAATGGCCACTACAGTAGCCCCAGGCTCAGTGAGAAACTCTTTCAGTGTAATGAGGTAGTGAGTGTTAAAACGGGACTCCTGTTGTTCTCTAGCCTTCTGAGTATATACAAGCTCACACTAGTAAGACCAGAAGGCAAGGAGAAGCTGAGGGTCAAGAGTTTTGGGGGGGGGGGTTGTTGTTGTTTTATTTAATATACAAAAGATTGGGTAATTTGCATCATATACATACAAAGATGAAATACAATATGAAGCTTTGACAGAATTTATTATTTGCCTCCAAATCTGTTCATTTCTATTGTTATTAGGTGCTCTGTAACAGGGTCAGACTGGTTTCCTATCTCCCAGGATTCTGTTCTTTAGTGAAAAGAGTTGTCAATCCAAAAGCCTTTTCAACTGCAGGGTCCTCAGGTTCTGATGAGTCTCATGTGACCACTGCACCCCCAGATATATGTAAGTAAAAGACTTATTGATCTTATTATAGTTGTAAAACCTTTTATGTTGTATTTTCTCTAATAGTTTTTTCTTGGAGTTTGATATATATATATATATATATATATATATATATATATATATATATAAATAAATAAAACTTCTGTTTGGTCCATTGAAAATGAAATAATTGTTCTGCCTAGATATATCAGAAAGTTAAAATATTACAAAAAATAAAATAAAATGTTCTTTATAGGAATATATCCCAGGGAAGGCATTGTAATTGAAGATAAATTAAAAGGTGGGGAGAATGGGAGGAGTGGAGGGAGGGGAAACTACAATCAGTATGTAAAATAAATAAAAAATTTATATATAAGTTTTATATAAATTAAGTATATCAAATGTGCTTTTTCTTTTTTAAAGAATCTCCCAAACATCACAGTTTGGCAATGCAATATACTGTGTATTGCATATTCCTAAGTATCACATGACTAAGAACTAAAACTGCCTGACTACAACAGAGATTATTGTACAGCCTGTTACTACCCAAAGAAAATAAGAAAATTCAGTATTCAGCACATATTGTTTTCTTATTGTCACAAAGCTAACAAATACTAAATGAGCCATTGGAAATCCAGTACTATTTACACTTGGTTCCAAAATGTCTAGGTTTGATTTAAGATTTTATTTTTATTATGCGTGTATGGCATGTGAGTGCAGGTACCCAAAGAGACCAGAAGAGAATGTTCAGTCCCTGGGACTAGAGTTACAGGCAATTGTGGGCAGCCTTGCCTGAGTTCTGGGAACTGAACTCAGCTCCTCTTAGGAGCAGTATGCACTTTCAGTCTCCAAGCCATCTCCCCAGCCCTAAAACTGATTCCGTGAGCTTTAAACTATTTTAAACTAGTTTAAAGCTTAAACTGTTGTGTCCTAAAGGCATAACACATGGAATTTTTGATTCTTCAAAACCTTTACTACAATTTTAGTTCACTGGGGTATTCAAAGCTCTACAGCTTCCCTGGATTTTGTTTTTGTTGTTGGTAACAGCTAACTTCCCATTTATATCACATGAAGACTGTGTATGGCCCATTTATTTTATTCTTTTCAGGCTCCCGAACAGTGTGGCCTGATGAAACTATGGGACCATTTGGACCTCAGGATCAGAGGTTCCAGCTTCCTGGGAATATAGGCTTTGATTGTCACCTGAATGGGACTGCGTCACAGAAGAAAGGCCTGACCCATAAATCTTTGCCTGATGTTCTAGCAGAGCCTCTTTCAACTGAAAGACATGAGTTTGTGATGGCACAGTATGTGAACGAGTTTCAGGTTGGTTGTTAAAAGTCAGTATATACAAAAGCAGTATAAGCAGCTTTAAAAAAATAAACTGGCACCATCCAATTTACATGTTTAAATTATAATCTTTATTAAATGGTTCTTCAAAAATATGTTTTTGATAACTACTTATTCTAAATTTGACTGCTGAATTATTTTCTGTATTGCTGAGGATTAAGGTTTCTTGACTTTTACTTCTAAAAATACTAGTTATGGGCCATTCATGATATCACATGGTGCCTATAATCCTAGTAAAAGGAGAAAGATCCCTAGATTCAGGGCCATCCTGACTTACATTTTGAGTTCCAGGCCACCTGGGGAAATTATAATTTGTTGATAGACTTAGTTCCCACTAACTTTATATTTCTCTAGCCCTTTAAAATGTTAAGAAATTTTCAAGGTTTTTTTTAAAGTTCAGACACGGGCAACTGAAAGGAAAACAGTATAAGTGTTGAGTTTGTGGAGAGGGAAAAGAAAAAAGAATTTCTAAGGGATTAGAGGAAGGTTTTTATGTATTTTTCTTTTTCGTGTGTGTTTGTATGGTATGCTAATGTGTGTGTGCCTGTGTACACATGTCCAAGTGCACGTGTAGGTATGCTTGCTCAAGAGTAGAGACCAAAGTTGATAGAGGGATGCCTTCCTTAGTTGCATCTCCATCTTATTTTTGAGGCAGGGTCTATCACTGGATCAGAGCTTCCTATTTTGGAAAGGCTGGCCAGCTAGGCCCCCAACACTAGGATACAGATGTATGTGCCTCCACGCCTAGCTTTTTAGGTGGGTATTGGGAATCCAAACTCAGATCCTCATGCTTGCACAAGGATACCTCCTGAGCCCCTGTGTTACAATTATTTAAACTGAAGTAACACCATTATTCTTGGAAATAGAAGGCTACATACACCTGAGTTTGGACCATACTCCTAAGATGTGACATTGCTGTAGAGAGTTAAATAGAGAGTTTTTTTGTTTGGTTGGGTTCTTGTGGTAGTGTTGACTTTTTGTTTGCTTTTAAAGATCTATTTTTTTGTGTGTGGTGTACATGCACATGAATGCAGGTACCCGTGTAGCAAGAGACATTAGATCTTCTGGAGTTGGAATTATAGGTTTTTTTGTGAGCTGCTTGAAGTGGATGTTTGGAACTGAACTCAGATCTGTAAGAGCAGTCATGTTCTTAACCATTGAGCCCTAACCATTGGCAGGCCCTGTTGTTACATATTTTAAAGTAAAGCTTTATTATTTGGCACGGTCTCTCAAAATATGAGTTGTATTTGATGACATTGGGACACTATTGACTTCCTAGGTCTTTTCATATTGTGATTTTTGCTCATTCTTCTCATTTCTTTCTTCTTCTTTTCCATACCAAATACATAATCCCTCTCACAAATTCTGTTGTTAATCTTCCAGTTTAAGTTCCTCTTTAAGTCCCTGGCTCATTAGCTTTAAGTCTTCATGATTTCTAGCTCAGTACTATTTCTGACATTGGCACCTGGGTGTCTTTATTTGTATATCTGGTAAGGCCCAGATTTTGTATTTAATACTGAAGTGGTTCATTTATCCCCATCAAAATTTGTCCTTATCCCTGTCTCATTAGTCATATGAATAGTATATCTAGCTATCTTCCCTCTTAGATAAAAAGTATAGGACCATCCCAGCCTCCCTTCACCATCATGGTCCCACAAATAATTTCAAAATCACAGTTCTCCAATCTGTGAATTTGTTACTAAGTTATTATTGTCCTTTCAGCTCTGTCAGACTTCAAGAACTGTTTCATTTACCTGCATTTGATGGGACATTATATTATAACATAATGGACTAGAGCAAGAGAATTAATCTAAGTTCGGGTGTTGACTGGAGCAACTAACTTATGACTTTGAGAATGTCATTTAACCCTTCTGAGACTTTGTTTCTTTATATGAAAAGTGAAAATAATAACAAAAATGGAATTTCAGGCTTTTGTTGTCTTCCTGCATTTGTTGCATCATTTTCCTCCAGGATTCCTAACCTATGTTCTACCAATAAACACTTCATCTGTTACTGCTACTTGAGCTTTTCCTGATTCCTCCTAGTGAAATGGTTTCCATCCCCAAAAGCTTTTTTCTCATTTTGTAGCAATTTCGTGTTGAGTTACAATTTTTATAAATGCTGCTTTTCTTCTGCTAGATTGGATGATATAGTTGAGAGTAAAAGCTGGATGTTTAAAAGTATTTTTATACTGTCTACTCCTCTCAAAGGGCCTAATACATTGCAAGCTATGGCTCACTTCCAACTGGGTAGCTACCCCTAAGCCCTTCCTATAGCCAAAGCTATAGTATTTGACCATTTTTGTCTTGTTTCGTCTTAATTAGCATCATGCCAATTTTAGAGAAATCCAGTATCACATAAATATCACAAAAGGTAACATTGTAACCTTTTTTGTTACGGTATTTCAGCCTGTTCCTATCAAATTTCAGAATGTCAGTATATTTATATATTTATCTTTGGTATTTCTTTAGAACTTTCAGAATTTGTAATCATTTTATTGTGAAAGCATTACCTTATTTTCCCTTAGAATAATTTTTTAAATTTTCTGAACTTAAATTCTTAACTGTGGCATGATATTTGAACTCAAGTTTATCCTTTCATCCTTGTTGTTGTTCCCACAGAGTAGCAATGCACCTGTTGAACAAGAAGTTAACACTGCAGAAACTTACTTTGAAAGTGCCAAAGTTGAGTGTGTAATCCAGACATGTCCAGAACTGCTGCAAAGAGGTATCATACTTTCTGCATTGAAACCCAAAATGTGTATTAGAGAATGTTATCAATGTCTTCATATGCTTAGTGTGAACTCCTAGTACTTGTCAGGCTCTGTGTGTTGATATTTAATGTCTGCTTAAAATGATTGCTTGTTCTCTGACATCTGAACTCGTTTTAGTTACGTAGGAATAATAGGATTTATAGTAACTTTACTGTAAACTTCATGTTTCTACCCTTGTATGACTATTGTAACTAGTTTTTTATATATAATATGTAAAGGAAAATCTTTAAGAATTTCATGCAATAAGTTATGATTATATTCATCTCCATTCCTCTGCCTTCTGGAGGATCTACCACCACCTCCCTGAACTGTTCCCACACCAATCCATACTTTCTCTTTTAAACAAAAAAAACTATGGTGTCTGTTTGGTGATGCCCATGTACATCTGGGTGGGGACCACTTACAAGAGCATGGTCAGCCTACTAGGTGCCACACCCTTAAAGAAAACTGATTCTCTCTCCCCCAGAAGCCATCAGCTGTTCCATAGCTCTTAAGTTAGGGATGGGGCCTCTCTCTGCTTCATGCTAGAATATTAATTATCTTCACCTTGTGCAGGTATTTTGCACAGCTGCTACAAGTTCCTAAGTACAGAAAGTCCTGTCGTGTACACAAGACACTGTTTCACCCACTCCTTCCTGAATTCTGAAAGCTGGTGTGATAGAGATGTCATGTTTGTGGCTGTGTGTTCCACAGTCACTTACCCTCTGCGCTTTGACCAGGCTACTGTTTGCACTTTGACCAGTTCTCAGAAAACGCTTAATGATAAATTTATTTGAAAATAATATTAATAGCAAAACAGTGTAAAGTAGCTTAATCTACAGACTTGTCAGCATTGCTACTTCAACTCATCCAACAAACAAAACTAGTTATTCTTTTCAACCTTAATGTACACTTGTTAAACTGCCTTAGTAGCACAGTAATTGAACTGAATTTGCAACTTCCCAAGGAAGTTATTTTTATGAACTACAGCTCTTTGTATAAAGCTAATTGTTTTCTTCTTGGGATTTATATTGTTATTTTTAGATTTTGAGACACTTTTTCCAGAAGTGGCTAAGAACAAACTAATGATTCTGACAGTAACACAGAAAACTGAAAATGACATGACTGCTTGGAGTGAAGAGGTAGAACTTGAAAGAGAGATGCTCTTGGAGAAGGTAAGTCTTCCAGTTTCCTAATAACTTGTTGTAGTCTTATTTTAATGCCATCATACCAATTGTGGTAACTCATTATGAAAATCCCTCTTACACTCCAAGAGACTGAAACTTTGCTGGACTTCACGACTGAGTTAATAATATACACTGAGATTACTTTAAACTTAAACTGTTATTCTACTGTATAGTCAGCTTGGCTTTTTTAACCTGCCCTTAATATCAATGTAACAACAATCTTACATGCCATGTAATCAACTTTTACAGCTTAAACTATTGCATAGTTGCAATCTTATGCTATGTACTCTTTCAAGCATGCGTATGCTTGTATTGTGTTAATCATTTGTTGAAAGCAACCAGCAGGTTGGAAGAAATCTTATACAATAAATGTCTGCCATAAATGATAGAAACAGCATATGGATATTATTAAGTTAATGTATACTTTTCTGAGCACTTCTGGGGCCTTTGGAGTCAGTGACTTAATCCATTGTAAAGCTTTAAAGGTTTCTGTAAAGTATCCTTGCTTCTTCCCTATGGTGCTTCTCTGTGCTGTTAAGTAAATAGAGCAACACCTTTGTGATGGACATAAGACAACACTCAGGCATGCACAGATTCAGATTTATTGAGCAGACAGATTATAAATAAAGCTACAATGAGACAAATAGAGAATTCAAATCCAGGCTCACTCTCCATTAAACTACCCCAAGAGGAAGTCTAATTTCCTTCCCTTAATTCAAACAACTCATCGATGACTCTTGAGTTATCTCTAGTGCATTTAAACAATGCAACTACTATCATAAAATTGTCTTTTCTGACCTGTATTTGTTCTGTGAACTATTTCAAGCACTTCCCCTTTTCAAAGGGGAAGGTGGGGAGGCTACTTTCCAGGGCTGTAGAGATGGCTCAGCAGTCAAGCACACTTGCTTTTCTTCCAGAGGACCTGGGTTTGAGACCTAGCACACACAGTGGCTCACAACTATTTGTATCTGTAGTTCCAGGAAATAATCCTTTGCCCTCTTATGGTTTCTGTGAGTACCCTGCCATGAATATGGTCCTTACACATAACATGCAGGCAAAGTAGCCATACCCATACACATGAAATAAGTAAATAATGTTTTTTAAGTGCTACTTTTCTTGGTATTCTTGAAAATTTTATTCCTTTTCTGAATTCTCAGATTCTAATTTTTCTAAAATATATTATTCTGCCCTTCTCTTGCATTTCCTCTACACCCTCTATAGCATGTCAAATAAATAATGAAAATCAACCCAGTCATATCTAAGGAATAAAGAGTAACCCTGAACAGTGTGCAGAGTACAATACAGTATGCACCTTTTTTCTGCCCTTTGCTTCTAACTAAAGATAGGTTTTGATACTTCTCTATGTCAGTATATGTAGATATACTTTGTTTCTTATAAAATTCTGTATTATTAGTAAACTAAAAATTTTAAGTTATTTTAATTTTTTGTGATAGATAAATTGAAAATCCAACTTTGCTATTTCTGGCACACAGCTCTGAAAATCGTTGTTACATATATTTATGAACACCAATCTCCATAGACTCCTAGATAGAAAATAGCTGTATTACTATCATTTTAAATTTTGGTAGATTTTGATGAAATGCCTATCCTAGAAATTATCTTAATACATATACTGTGACCCTAGCTTACCTTCTATCTTAGCATTCTTTTTTATCGATCAGATAAAAAATTCAGTTATTTATATACATATGCATTTAATAATTTAAAACTATATGGTAATTACTTTAAAATTAACATTGGATTGCATGAATTTGTCTATAAAACAAGAGTATTATTCTCTATGATAGATAAAGACTGATTCATTTGAGTGTCTTAGCTCACTCTAGTTGAAAAACCCCCTAACTGACTTCCATACAAAATAATGTTAAACATTATAATACTTTTTGGGGTTAGCCAGATGGTTCTCTTTATTTGTGATAATATAGTTTACATATTCAGTAGTATTTTATGAATGTGTTACTTAAATGTACTGCATAAAGCTTTCTAGTACATGTTATAGTGTTTTAACAGATGTGAGCATATTTGTTATATACTAATTAAAATGGAATTCAGTAGAAGCATATGACATTCAGGCTGGGTGAGGTAGCCTACACTTTTGATCCTAGCACTCAGACAGAGGCATGTGGCTTTCTAGGAGTTTCAGGCCAGCCAGGTCTACATAGTGAGAGAGACCTTATATAAAAAAACAGACATACTTTCAGATTTAAGAGAACTTAAGTAGGCAATAACTAACATATCTTATTTACATATTAAAGGCTTAATAGATGTATAGTTCTCGTCACTCAGTGAGTGGCCACAGATCTCATTCTTATACATCACATTTGTAGTGCTGGTTTCTAGTCATCTCAAGGTTCTTAGCTGATTTGATATGGAGTCCAATATAGTTCTTTGAGTTTCCTATGACAAGGGTGGGCTTTGACATGTAGCTGTGTTGAGAATGGCAGCTTATTTTCCATGTCCTATTCTGGCTTTTTCCAGCAGGTGTCACTGTTTGCCTTTGATGAATAAAAATCTTAGGAGAAATTTGCTAGTGCTTGTAATAATAGATTTTTTAAGTTAACCTTTGTACATGCTTGATTGTATTGTTTTATTCTTTTTAGTTTTTAGATATTACTTTTTTCATTAAGTTGGAAAATGATTTAATGACTTGTTTTTAAGACTTACAAAGATTATGAAATATATCAATGAATGTTAATTTTGAATGTGACTGATAATATAAAGAATACAGCATCATTTATTGTCACTATTTGACAGGTAGATATGGAGATAAAAGTTAGCTTAGGTGCTATGCCTCCGTAGGAATCACTAAACTTCATTTTTAAAAGTGTCAAAAAGTAAATTACAGTAAATATAGTTCTGAAAAAATAAAAAGTTGTGGCAAGTGAAATTTATAGTTTATTTAAGCAAAGTGACTTACAAGTGGCACAGTCCTCAGATAAGTGCCTGCCATGTGCACAGGTAGCATTTATAGATAGCAAGTAGAAGGGAAGTCTAGAAACACTATAGATGTAGCTTTAAGTCTGCTTTATTGAGCACAGAGTGAGCAGTACTATGGTTGTGTTATAAAACATTCTCCTAAGTCAGGTGGACTTAGGCTCTAAATTTGCAGTGTTGGGAGTCAAAATGGTAAAGCAGCTTCATGTCACATTTCACAGTCTCCTTGTCTAACTGCCTTTCTTGGTCTCTAATTCAGATCAAGGGGTCTTGAAAGCTGGCCAGAAGGCTTTGGCAGTATAGATAGAGCTGAAGAAAGTAAAAGAACAAGGAGTAAACTGGTTCTTCCCTTACAAGGTTAGAACAGGGAGGGTTTAATTATCATGCTGGCTTGAGTAAACTGGCCCCTTCTGGTTGGTTGCTGTCAATCTTCAGACTGTTTTTGAAAACTGGCCTATTTAGATTCCTTCTGATTACTAACCAGTCAGTGACAATAGCTTGGGTAATTCTATTCCAGCTTAATCTGGTCTGCCTCATTAGTACTGACATCACAGTAGCCTCCTATAAAATTTAACTATTGAGTCCCAGACACAGTCATCTTCTTTACCCACTGATGATGATAAGAACAGGACCATAGCTTTGATTACAGTCTTATTTATATGCCCATGATAGAGCTTGGCGTATGTGAGCAACACATTCAAAGATTAATTACTGATACTATAGAGTAACAGTTGTTGTCAATAAAGTTTTATGGTTTTATGAATATGTTCTCTTGCAATATATTTTATACTTTGGCTTGTTGCTTAAAGGAAGGGGTGTGAATCTGTGTGTACGCAAGTATGCGCTGATTGTAAGCATCATTGCATATGGGGTTATTATTAAGGAAGTCAATGGGTACTCAGCATAGTTACTGGGCTACCTCCACAGTTGATTTTTACCTTTTCCTCTGCAGTTTATTAATGGTGCTAAAGAAATTTGCTATGCTCTTCGGGCTGAAGGATACTGGGCTGACTTCATTGACCCATCATCTGGTTTGGCAGTGAGTAAATACATCTTAAAAGCCAGTTTATATGAAGTAGACACACTTCTTATTATATAATTATAACTGTCTTATTGGCAACAACAACAGGAAAAAACCCCAAGCCATCAAACATCCATTTAGACTTTTTTTCAACTCAATATATTGTCCTAAGAGGTAGGATTACTGTAAGCCGCTTTGTTTCATAATTCTAAGAGAACTTATGGCACTGGTTTTGTTAATAATAATGAAACGGATGTGTATGTTTACTATTTGGAAGCTAAAACTTAGAAATTACAGTAGTCTAGTCTACTTTCTTAAAGACCAAAGTATTTTGAAGAAAATATAAACTGTAGGAATAAAATTAGAGAAATGACTTTTTGGAAACTTTTCTATAATCATGATCACATACTTCAATTGCAAGTAGTAATAAAATTATTTTTTAAAGATTTATTTAGTTATTATATATACAATATTCTGTATGTAATTCAAATCTTATTAGAGATAGTTGTGAGCTGACATGTGGTTGCTGGGAATTGAACTCACGACTCTGGAAGAGCAGTCAGTGTTCTTAACTTCTGAGACATCTCTCCAGCCCCATAAAATCATTTTTTAATTTTAAGATAGAAATTTATACTTGCCAATTCAGAGTCAAATGTAATATCTTAGAGACTAGAAGACCTTCTTTGGCTTTAGTCTCATTTTGTAACAGTGATAGAAATAATTCATAAATTATTCTCTTAGGATTTATTCATTTTTAAAATTTGTGCAGTGCTATGCAAGTTCTAGGTAACTTGAAATTTACTAGCTAATTCATTTCCCATTTCTAGCATGCACAAAAACTGAGGAGATTGTGTTAGAACAGTTTAGTATTGCGTATGACCTTTTATAGTTAAAAAAAAAATACTGAAACACATAGGCACTTGCTTGTATTTATAAAATATTACAAAGAGTCTTCCTAATGAAAATATGCTTCATTTCTTATTTCCTCTAGTTTTTTGGACCATATACAAACAGCACACTTTTTGAAACAGATGAACGCTACCGGCAATTAGGATTCTATGTTGATGACCTTGGCTGCTGTAAAGTGATCCGTCATTGTCTTTGGGGTACTCATGTGTTTGTAGGAAGTATCTTCACTAATGCAACAGCAGAAAGCTACATCATGAGAAAGCTCAGTGGAAACTAGCAGTGCCCTGTGATAATTGCAGCTCTGTGTCTGTAATGGAATGCTCTATGTAAACACTGTTGAGGAATTCAGCATCTATGGGATTCTGGTTTCTAGGTATTTATTTCATGATTTATGGTTTTACATTGGGAGATGACTCATGATTTCAAATTTGAAACTGGTAGTTCATATTCTGGAGTATGTGTTGAACATATCCTGCAAAATGGTCATCAACATGTAACCAGGATATGTATGGTCACTTATTGTTAATTCTCCCCTTTATTGGGAAAACCCTAGTTTATTTTTTCCAAAAATAAATCATACATTTGGCTATGATTAGCTTGTGTTTTCTTTGTCTCAATAGTTTGAAAATGCAGCTATTTAATAGATTAAAAGGCTATAACATTAAATTGTAAGTTGTTTTTAGTAATGCTATTGATAATTCTAGATTCACTGCAGATTTACTCTTCTAATTTATTTTTTCTTAACTAGTAATCAAACTGGCCCTAGTTGGTGGGTTATTTTGGAATAATGTCAACAGGAAAAAAATAGTGAAAGTATTGTATTTTTTATGTATAAAAGTATGTCAACTTCATACTTATACTAAAAAACACTACTTAACCATGTAGTTGAGAGTTAAATGTAATGTATTTCCAGATGACTTGATGTCTCAGCTCCAAATCACATCCCTAACTCCATTGCTCCAAAGGCGCCTCATTCTGTATTATTCTACAGAGATTATCACTGTTACAAACCTTAAATGAATCATCTGTCATTGCGAGACTTCTGTCAGTTTATGGCGTGTTGATGATAGCAGTGGGAAATGGTTGGTTATTAGGTACTGAAATACAGGAAAATGCCTCAGGTAGCCATTTCATCATGTTTACTTACACAGGAACAAGAAAATGTACAATATTATCTGACTGAGCATAACATAACTCTCATAGGACCTCACATAGGAACTTAGCAGTGATTCTTTCATGGATACACATCGTCTGTTACTCTCAATGGTTATCAGAAGGTCTATACTAAGAACCAAAAGAGCTGCCCAGTCAAAGTTGAGAGAACTTTAGGGCTGACTAATGCTAGTGCTACACTTAGTAAAGAAGTAGGCATTATACTCTGTGTGCCTAAAATGCATATCTTAAAATATTATTTAATACATATCTAAAAATTCAACTAGAGCATGCTACACTTGAAACAATAAGTTGTCTCACTTCGGATTTAAAGCATGGTGGTCTTTCTTGGGCTTCAGTCACTTGTGACACCAACTGAATTCTTACCGTTGAACGAAATTCTGCTTTTCTCCTAGGGCTGCTTCTATTCTTGTCCCAAAGAAGAGTGTTGCCCACATCTGTACTACTTAGGCTCTGAATGGATAAGTCTTTATTTAGGGACCTTTTCAATAATGTGTGGTATGTTTAGCATCACCCTGGCCTCTGCCTACTTAGATAAGTAGCAGACCCCTGATGTTAACAAAAATGTTCCCAAATACAGCCAAATTATATGAAGGGACAAAAGACTTTGGTTTTTTAAGTCAAATACAGGCAAGTGTAACATATTTTATCTAACAGCTTTGCCTGCACTTGAGAACCACTGGTCCTAAGGTACCTTATACCACAACTTCAGCTGTATATTTGGGTTACCTAAGAGTATTTCATAATTTGCCTTCACATTCACAGATTACTTCCATTAACCCACGGAGGTTTGAGCATCAGTGTTTTGTTTTTAGCTTTCAGCTTTCTGTGTATGGAGGTTGGACCATTAGTATGTTCAAAAATGGAGCAATAGTGGAAGGCTAAGGAAATAAGAGGAGAATACTGTGGATTGGCTGTATTAAAGACTTACAAAATTAAGGCTCTAGGATTTTACAGTAAGACTTATCGGTGCAAATTAATTCAAGGATTTCTATTCACCTTCTTGACTACTGTAACCCTTGCTGATTTTTTTCCTCCTCTCACCCTTGTATTAGATAGTACTTGGATAACTCCACACTGTGTTGAACTTTATCTTTTCTTTCTGTTCATAATGCATAGTCCTTGGTTAATACCATATAATTTTGCTCTGTATAAAAAACAACTTTTTGAGGTTTGCTTCCCTTATCTTGGAAATAAAACCCAATTCTCTACTAAAACAGTACTGAAATCACTTTCATTACTGATTGGATATTGTAAACTTCAGTAAGTTATTGTCTTCCTTCTTTCTGTCAGTAGTATACCTGAAAGTTATAAAGACTTCAAATAAGGCTTTGAGTATTGGGCTTCAAATTATCCTTGGAGATTATGGACCACCTCACACCATGTCAGATCTTTACAGAGCACATAAAGCACTCAGTTAGTTGATGACTAGGGAGTAGTACAGTGAGAAGGAATGGTCTTTTCAGGATGTGTTGTGGGCTAGCAGATAGAGGGAAACAATGGGTTGTCACACGTGGCTTCTACCACCACACAAATTATTTCCAAATGGATTGTAGGTCTACATGTGAATGATTAAAGCTTTCAGCAAGAAACTTTTATGAACTTAGAGTAGGCAAAAAAAAAAAAAAAAAAAAAAAAAAAAAGGTTTTGAAAATATGACTGAGCACTGAGCACGAGAAATTTGTATAAATCTGATTGTATTAAAACTAGGCTTTGATCAAAAACATCATGGAGAATGCAGCTAAGAGTTGAAGATTACACACACAATGTAAATGGCAAACAAAAAACTCATAATAAAAATAATAAAGAGGCCCTAAAATTGGCGAGCGAAAAACCCCAAAATGTTTACAAAGAAAGATACCCAAATGGCCAGTAAATATGTGATCTGTTTCATAAATCAGAAGTACAATTAAATCCACAATGCTATACTACCACATGCGCTCCAGAATGGCTAACATAAAAAAAAAAAAAATTATAGCAATATTGGCAGAGAGCAACTTACACTAACGTGGTAGCAATTAAGAACACCACCAGAAAAACCGATGTTTCTAAGACTCCCCAATTCAGAGGACCTAGCATCATACTGGACAGAGGCATGCACCGAGCAGAAAGAGCATAACTAACTGCATGTACTCTGTGACACCTGTTGTTGAAACCCAGCAGTCTGCTGACCCCGCCCCCTGACGATGGGCATGATGCTCATGGCCATGTCATCTCTATGTCATGACTTTTGTGGCTGCTCACAGGCGCACGCGTTACCTGGCTGCTCAGGGGACTCAGTTACATATGCACAAGTTTCCCTTTTAAAGTAAGGGCGCCAATCACGCCCCTCTCTTTTTCCTCCTCTGCTCTCTCTTGCTCTCCCCCTTTCTTCTCTTTCTCCCCCCTCTCTTTCTTTCTCCCTTCCCTCCCTACCAATAAACTCCATGTGGGCACTGAGCCTTGTGTTTGTGTTTCTTAGGCGCTAACTATAGCTACATCAAAAGAACAACACCTATGGTGGTGCTTTGATTATGTAAATGTTTATGATCACCTGCAACAACAGGGAAAAAATGGCAGGCAAGAATTCCAAAGCAGCAAAACAGAACAGCTGCTGATGCCAGGTCAGGCCAGCGATTGCCCAAAAAGTTTGGGTCTGGAAAGCTCCCAAAGGTTCATGATAAATTTTAAAAGCTCAAGGGGAGGTGCTTGACTCTTTTGGAATGAGGCTCTAGTGGAAAGAAGTTACATCACTGAGGGTGTGGCCCTTCATCTCTTTGCTTCAGGTAAACAAACTTCCTCCATCATTTGACCTTGCCATGATAAAGAGCTGCTTCAGGTCCCAAACCAATGGACCAACAAAACTGGGCTAACACTGCCTACATAATTAAACCGTTCCTCCTTTGCCTTGACTGTCCAGCGTGCCCAATGTTTTGTTTTCCACAACAAAAACTGAGTAGCATAAAAGAGAAAAAAGGATTCTGGAATGGTAATGTTCTCTTTTCTCAACTCAGGTGTCTGCTAAAGTGATATAGTTGTGCAAACTTAACGCACTTTTTTTTTTTATATGTATGGTGTCATTAAAAGGGGTTTAAAAGTACAACCAAAATCTACTCTTTAAACAATGATAGAAACCATTTAAAAGAACTCTAGTGCCAGCAAAAGAACTTAAAACTAATGTACTTCTTCAAAAGACTCCGAGCTTTTTTTAGTTAACTCATAGAATTTTGAAACCAAAGTATGATTTTTTTTTTAAATGTAGTTCAGTGTAATTTCAGCTATGCAATGATGCTGTTAAACAAAATATCAAATTTCTAAAGCATTTGCAATATTGTGTTGTACATGCTTTACTTTTTGTGTAAAGTATGGTTAATATAAGAATTTTATAAGATTCCTGGACCTGGCCATGGCGGCTCACACCTTTAATCCCAGCATTGGGATGAATCTCTGTGAGTTCAAGGCCAACCTGCTCTACAGATCAAGTTCTAGGACAAGCTACAGAAAAATCCTGTCTCAAAAGACCAAAAACATAAATAGAAAGAAAGAAAGGGAGGGAGGAGAGAAAGAGAGAGAGAGAAAGAAAGAAAAATAATTTTACAAGATTGCTAAGACCCTCTTAACCCTAGACAGTTAAATTATTCTCTGCCAGGGTTTTCAGTTCTATTACTCTTGTAGATTCCCCTGTGGACAGACCTGGCAATTCTTTTTGTTCAGACATTCCATGGGTGCTAGACACAATCACAGTTTTACTTAGTGTCTTTGTATGACATGGTGATCACAAACACTTTGCTTCTGTACAATGGAATAGATTGCAGTGTTTAGGACAACTTTGATCTCTTTTCTCAGTCTAAAATATTCTACTATAATTCTCCTTTATACAGGGTTACATACATTTAACTTTGTGCTCATATTGATTAAAATGGCAATTTTCTGTCCTTTTTATCAATGCAGAAATAGTTATTTAGATTTTTAGACTCTGGTTTATATTCATGCTCTATTTAATAACTTAGCTTTAGCTGCTTTAAGTGACATAAAGCCATCCTTTGTCACATACATCGTGAGAAAGTCCAGTTTTGTCTTTTGAAGAATGTTTGACACAGTTCATGCCACATAAATGTTTAGAGAACTTAAGGATGGTCCCAAGTCTTAAATAGAGATTAGTTGAGGTCAAACTGGAGCTTTGACCTAGACTATAGTATTCCAACAGCTTGGTGAGGGAGATCTCACATTAGCTTCAGTTAGCTCAGCTAGTAGGGTGTATGTAATTGCTGTGTTTTTTTTTTTTTTTTTCAACACAGTTGACATAGGACATCACATGAAATGTGCTGTCTGGATCCTATATATTAAATGGTACCTACTTAGAAAATCCTTTATGTTCTGAAATTTAAAATTATCCTATTATCCTCTATTTTGCTAATTTTTGACATGTGAATAACAACA